AACAATAAAGAATTCTACCATGTATGGAGCACTTATGCTATCTACAAAGTGATACTCTTCAGGTGATTTACATATACTCATATTTCTTTACAACAACAAAATCTATAAAATAGAACCTAACATCTCCACTTTGCATGTACAGAACACAAGACACAAGTGTATATAACATACATTTTTTTAAAAGGTTCATATACTGTTTCTTTCCATGAGTCATTATAGCGGTAACAAACCTATAACATAAGACTTTCCTGTTACACCCAGAATAAAATGGGATAGTAGATAGACAGGAACTTCACGAACGTTAACTGTTTTAACAACAGATGGCCTGAATATAAATTATTATTTTGCTTTAAAAGTGCAAATATAAAAGACTTCTAGAAATGATGTCCATTACTTGCCTCCAAACAATGTCAAAACAAAACCATAATCTGGTCAAAATATTTTTATTAAAGTTATCAAACAAAAACTACAATGTGATTCTAACTGAAAAGAAAAATATATGGTCATTTAAGAATTCTGAAAATCTGGGGCTGGGGGTCAGTGGCAGAGTGCTTGCCTAGCAAATGTGAGGCACTGGGTTCAATCCTTAGCATCACATAAAAACAAACAAAATAAAGGCAGGCTGTCCATTTACAACTACAAAAAAAAATTTTTTTAAGAATTTCAAAAATCTTAACTCTTTATGCTATATGATAAGTGCCTAGACTTTGGTCTCAAATTTAGAATTCAGAACTACTCTAACTGAAACTACCAAAATAATCTGTGATATGTGTTCCAAGACCCACCCACCCACTTCCCAGAAGGGGATGCCTGAAACCATGCACAGTACCCAAACCTCAATTTCATTTTCTTTTCCATCTTAACACTTAGTCTGAACTGTGGTAGTAATTATGGAGTTTGACATGTAACAGCAAAACTAACAAAAGTTTCTTTTGTCTTCTTTCAACCACAAATTCTTCATATTTCTATTCAATAGAGGATTCATTCTAAGAGTAGATCTTAGCAACTTCAGTGCAACTTTTTTTTCTTCTTCTTTTTTACAAAATTAAGAACTTGACTTTTCACTTAAAGAAAGCATGTTCTGCCTTCTCTTTGGGATACCCATATTGCCAGCATTTTGGGGGTCATTAGTAAAGGATCTAGGAATTATCTGAATATAAGTACTATTATCATATAATAACAGAAGATCTGAAAAGTGACAAAGTTAGTATGGGATATGCTGAACAAAGAGATGATTCCAGGAAGGATGCTGGAAGACAGTGCAAGATTTCATCACACTATTCAGAATGGCATGCAATTTAAAACTTGTGAATTGTTTATTTCTAAAATTTTCCACTAAAGTTTTTGGACCATAGTGGACAATGAATATTGTATAGATCCCACAGAAAAAAGGAAGGACACTCAAGACTACTGACATGTTCATGTTCAAACAGTAGTCAAGTAACAAAGTAAAAAAAAAAAAATTATCAGTCAGAAAGTTTGAAAGTCAACATTCAAATATTTTGTAAGAGCACTTAAGCAATTGAAGGTATACAACAAATGCTAACTCCAGAGAAAAGGTATGCAAAAGAGGACAGAATCCCAACATATTACACAAAGGTCTTACAAAATTAACTGACTTTCACAACTGAGCTTATACATTTATTTAAAAAAAAAATTTCAAGTAATTTGAAGAAATCCTAAAATACATAAATGCTATAATAATATATTTAACAATTATTCATCCTCATCACCACAAATGTTTCTAAGAGTTGAAACATATTTCTAAAATAGGTTGATTTAAAACGAAACATCCCACTTTGACAAATGTTATGTTTTAAGACTATCCGCTTATCACCAATCAAAAATAAATAAATGAACAAAAGGAAGATCAGTCAAGTAGAGGAAGGAGAATGGAGGAATGGGGTAGGGAAGAAAAGAAGGTAGAACAGAGACTGAAATGGATTAAATCAAATTCTATGCATGCATGATTTTGTCAAAATAAACTCGACTACTAAGTATAACTATAATGCTCTAAAATAAATATATGTGCTTATCAATTAATAATCAAGTATCTCTTTAGGAACCAAGCAGAAGCACATACTTATACAAAAGCTGCCCTTAACTAAATTCAGTTCTTACTATATAAAGATATGTCTTTAACAAATCAAAGATACACTTTGGTATAAAATATGAAGCCAATACAATTTTTAAATGTCCTGAATTACCATTAAGAAGGTACAATTTAGTTATGCTACATCATGTAATAACCTTCAAGCAAGAAATTAAATGAAGGCTCAAACTGAGACAACCATTATGACCTTTAAAAGGAAGACAAATCAAAATTAAGTCTCAAATGAATAAGCAATCTAATTTTTGCCCTGTCAACTACTCTAAAAAATATAATTACTTATACCTAATCTAAAGTTATTTACATAAGTTTAGCATAATTGCCCCCCACCTGGTTAATGTTTAATTGCTACACTGATTTCACTTCCTTTAAATCAGGCTTCTGGTACCCACATGCTATGCTTTATAAGATGAAAATAAAGTACACCTATCAAACCACATTAGATTGGACTGTAATTGTCTCCCTTGGTAAATCACTATTCAAACATTCCTCATAAAATCAGATTAAAACAGAGGGCAAAAGACCTTATTACCCTTTATGAAAATGTCTTCAATTAAAGAACAGATTCAATTGTTCCAAAATAGACCTAACATAAGTGAAAACAAAAGATAAAAAGAATAGTAAATTTTAAACAGACATGGCAAACAAATGTTGGACAAAAAGTTTTCTGGCAATTATGTTACCTTCTCATCATGAAGAATTTGGCCTCTGCCCAGTGTGAGCTCTGGTATTCCTCTGGTTCCTTAGAAGTAACCTCTGAACCCTGGGAATTTCCGGAGCATTAGGAGGGTCTTTGTAATTCATGATGAGCTTCTCAGGCTAGACCTGATAGTTTATGCTCACCAGGTGACTCTGAGTAGGAGGAGTTGATCACTCCAGAAAGAGCTTTCAGTCACATATCATTCCTCCTCTGAGAATAAGAAAGGGACTGAAGATTGAGCTCAACCATTTGATCAATGGTTTAATCATGTCCATGTAATCAAACTTTAATAGAATCTCTGGACACAGAAGTACCAATAAACTTCCCTACTTAGTTATATTCTAGACACTACCATACATGAACGCTAGGAAAATGCATCTCCCTGAGGACAATGTGAGGGAAGCTTCACATATGGAACCTTCCCAGACTATGCCCTGTATGTGTTCCTTTGGCTGGTACTAATCTGTATCCTTCTGTTGTAATAGAACAATGATTATCAGAACCTTTCAATAGGTTCTTTGAGTCTTTATAGTTAAATATAAACTTTACAGTAGTCTTGAGACCCCCAAATTTATAGTCAGTCTAAAGTGAGGGTAGCCCTAGGGACCTCCCCCAAAACTTGCAACTGATGTCTGAAGTAAGAATAATCTTGTTAGGACTCTTTCTTCAGACTCTGCAACTTGACAATTCACTGTACTCGAAGAGTAAACTGAAGAACGGATACAACATCCAACTAAGCATGGAGAACTGAAATCAGGTGTGGTAGTGCATGCCTGTAATCCCAGCAAATGGGGAAGCTAAGGCAGGAGGAGGATAGCAAGTTTGAGAATAGCCTCAGCAACTCAGAGACCCTCAACAACTTAGCAAGACCCTGCCTTAAAATAAAAAATAAAAAGGACTATGGAGGTTGCTCAGCAGTAAAGTGCCCCCAGGTTCAATCCCCAATACCAAACAAATAAAAAAGCATGATGAATTGAACACCTGTATTCACCACTCGTACCTCCAGACACTAATGATAATCATTCAAGGAAGTCTCAAATTTTGGAGATCATAGGTGAAAGAATGCTAAAAGTCAAAGAAAATTAAAATGTGTACAATAAAAGATTAGATACCAGACCTCTCCTAATCCTAGGTAACCAGATAACTGTCACTCTTCCACTCCATCCCCAAGAGAACAAGGATTTCATCGTTCCCCCCCCCCCAAAAAAAAACCAGCTCAAAAACACAGAACAACTATAAGGAGATCAAGTGAAAAATCTGCACACTGGAATAAGAGACTTGTCCCTGTATGTATTCAAAACAGCAGCTTTTTAAAATATATATTTATTTTTTAGTTTTAGATGGACACAATATCTTTATTTTATTTTCATGTAGTGCTGAGGACTGAACCCAGTGCCTCACACATGCCAGCGAGCGCACTACCACTTGAGCCACATCCCAATCCCCCAAGAACAGCAGCTTTAAGGCTCTTAAAGGATTCTTCAGAAAATTGTATGAGGAAAAATAATTATACATGGTAGAATTAGGTTCTCCCAACTAAAAATAAAAATAAGCTTATTATCCATTTTTCTTACAGTGAAGCAAAATAAAAAGCAAAACAGCTTCTCTCCAACAATTCTTCCCTCCACCCCAGCCAATGTTGAACTCTAAACACACAAAAAAATTCCAAGTAGCTTTTTATGTCTCATTCAATAAATTGTATTGTCCTACAACAATTGAGGGGGAGGGAAAATAGAAAAACCAAGGAAAAAGAGGAAAAAGATAATAAGAGCAGAAATAAAAAGACCACTATTAACCTCATTGCTAAGACATTTTATAGGAAGAGGAGGATGCTACATTTCTAAGTGCATTCTACAAACGACAACAACAACAAAAAAAAGATTCTTGGAATTGAAATGACAGGCAAAAGAAAAAACTTACTCAGAAAATCTGAGAAAGTAAAATACAGCTGTAAGTGACAATATAAGGGAGAAAAAGAAAATTACAAATCTCTGCAGTGATCCAACACATAAACAAATGGAATTCCAGAAAGAACAGAGAAAGCAATTATCAAACAAATAATACAGGAAAGTTCCCAGAACTTGATGTGTCTAGCAAAACAAATGAAAAAGTCCCACACCAGTACACATTCGTGAAATTGAGAACACAAACCATAGAGAGATCGTAAATTTTTCCCAAAACAGGCCACATGTTCTCGCTTCGGCAGAACATACACTAAAATTGGAGCAATACAGAGAAGATTAGCATGGCCCCTTCACAAGGATGATATGCAAATCCATGAAGCATTCCATATTTTTAAAGATAAAAAAAATTTAAAAACAGGCTGCAAATTCTCAAGAACTGTCACCACAAATGACATCCATGAAACACTGGGAGATAGAAAACAATGAAACAACACCTGTGAAATTCCAATCTAAAATGTTATACCCAACCAACCAAATATGAAGAAATTAAAAATGCATTTCCACTATGAAGTCTTAAATTTTACTTCTGATGAAATCTTTCTGGGAAAGTTGCTCAAATATGTTCTTGACAAGTATGTAAGAAAAGAAAAAGATATGCTACCAAGGAAAAGGCTCAATACTAGAAACTGAGGCATTTCCTAGGATGATGATAGTTGCACACCATACTGAAACAAGAAGCCATCAAAAGACAGGCTGAGAGAAGTTGTCAAAGAAAAACGTACTTGAAACTGTGTGAGGCTTCTATAAATAGATATGTATCATAGCAACAGAATGTTTGCTTAAAGGGAGCAAATGGCACACAGAAAATTAGATTAATGGAGAAAATAAGTCAATAATTAACTATTGGAAAATCAAGTTTTACAAAAAGGACAAATCATAATTTATTAATTAGCTCAGCACTGAACTCTATTTACATAGTTATATATAACTACGTTCATATGGGGGCATAAAATAGAATACCATTATTTATGTTTGAAAAAATAAACTTAACAAATGTGAAGATCGAGAATTATTTATGTAACCTATGTAGTTAGCTAAACAACAGCCCTCTAAGATGACCGTGCCCTAATCCCTGAAATCTATGAATGTTACTTTTTATGGAGAAATGAATTTTGCAGATATGACAACAAATCTTGAGGTAGAGAAACTACCCAGGATTGTTCAGGTAGACTCTAACAAGTATACTTATTAGAGGAAGGCAGAAGTAGATTTTACTACAGGAGGCAGAAGTAGATTTTACTATAGGAAAGTAGATTTTACTATAGTGGAAGGTAATGTCATGATGGAAACAGAGATTGGAATGCTATACCTTCAAAATGGACGAATGGATCAAAAACTGAAGAAAACAGCTGGAAGGTGATAAAATCCAAGGAAGCCAATTTTCCCTATTCCAGAAGAAACCAATTTTACAAACACCTTTAATTTAGGCCAGTGATACTGATTTTGTGCTTTTAACTTTCAGAACTATAAGAGAATAAATTTAAGTTGTTTAAAGCCAATAGATTTGTAGTAGTTTGTTACAGAGGCAACAGAAAACTGATACAGCACCTCATTTAGATTCCTGATGAATATGTCAAAAGACTGCTACACTGTAATATTTTACTGGGAACATGATTCAGTGGTAGAGCACTTGTTTAATATGTGTGAGGCCCTGAGTTCAATCCATAGTACCACCAATAATTAAAAAAAGACTGCTATATTTCATTTTAAGTATTTAAATACTATGTGATTTTTTAAAAAACTATCATTATTTTTACTAAAACATAAATATAATCCCTTCCAGGATAAATGGAGACCACTAAATGATACCATAGTTAATGGCATAAAAATAAATAAATTAAAAATGAGATTATCCTGGATTATCAGAGTAGGCCCAATAAAATTACAAGGGTCCTTAATTGGGAAAGAAAGAGAAAGAATGATATAAGAGGAAAGGATCACTAGTTAAGGCTGGCTGTGAAGAAATAGGCAGCTTCTAGAAGCATGCGCGTGCACACACACACCCACACACACAGATCCTCTTCTAGACCTTCCCAGGAAAGAATAAATCCCTACCAATGACTTGATTTAGCCCAGCAAGATGTATTTTGAGCATATGACCTCCACAACCATTAACAAAATCAATTTGAGTTAAGTCACAAATTTGTGACAATATGGTTTAGCAGCAATAAAAAAAAACTAATAAAGTCAGTGTTTACTTAATATTATTAAAGAAAAAATGTGCCTTGTCAAAGTGGACACAAATATCCCAATCCTCTTATTCAGTAAGAGATATTGGTATTAGGACACAATTGCCTCCAAATACTATCTATATTAGTCACCTATGGATGCTGTTAACAAGTTAGCACAAACTGGATGGCTCAGAACATTAATTTACCTCTCAGTTCTGGAGGCCACAAGTCCAAGATCAGTAGTGGGCATACAAAGGTGGCCACCTTGTGGAGATTCTACGGGAAAATCCATTGCTCATGTCTAGTTTCTGGTGACTGCTTATATACTTTGACAATATTTTAATTTCTGCTTCAGCCTTCAAATCACCTTTCTCTCTATATTTTCTTCCCTTCCTTTGTGTCAAATTTCTCCCTGCCTTTATCTTTAAAGGACTGGATTTAGGGACTACCCAAAGTAATCAACAATCACCACCCCAACCCCACCCTCACGCCACAGCCATCTCAACACTTGAACTCTTCTTGTTCACACCTCCTCTCAAGATCCTTACTCATATTTTGAGGGCGCACATAGTAAGTCACAGGTTCCAGGGATTATGACATGGACATATTGTTTTGGGGGCCACGATGCAATTCACTACAAGCTATATCCATCACCATATTCAGTCAATGAACATTTATTAAAGTCCCCTTATACTCATCTCTGGATATAGAAAGATTTTCTGTACTGAAGGAATTGATAATCTAATAATGAAAAAATGTAAGAACCAAAGAAAAAGAGCTTTCCAGAATATAGGACAGCTGAACTAGATCAAAGAGTCTCTTTTCTCCCCACTTCTGGGAACACTATCAGACCTTGAGATTCAGCAAAAGAAAGAAAGAAAGCTGCCAGAAAGTGCTATAACAGTTAATAAGATATTTAACCTGTTATCAATATGCTAAGACAAAGATTCTAGTTCATTAATAAATGGTGTATCATTTAGGAAGACAGCTAACAGAGCTAATAAATAAGGAAAAGAATTTATAAAAAAAATTGAGGAGGCAGCGGCAGTGGCAGAGGAAAATTTAATTGCAGTAAAAGAAAAATAAGGGAAAAAATGGAGAAAATGAAGCAAACATATTCAATCTTCTTTATCAGGGGCAATAAAAGACCATGGTATAAAGAATCTACAATATTCTTTAATTCCAATTTCTTATTTTGTCAAATGACAAAAAGTTTTCCAGAATTAAGATCCTAAAAGAGATCTTAACATGAGTTAAAGGGAAAAAAAAAAAAAAAACTCCTCATTGGATACAAAAAAAAACAAGTAACAGTCATGCCATTGTATCCCAGGAAATATCTTCATAAAAGCTACCAATCTCAGAAAATTTATAAATTATATAAGAAACTCTCACTTATTTAACACTAAATATTAGGAACTAAAAAAAGCTAAGTGAACACTAGGTTTTTCCCCTCAATTTTCTCAAGTCAATGCCCCTTTCCTATATGTAGCTTTAGTCTCACATCTGTCAGATCTTTAAAAAAATACTTTTTCATTTATGCCCTGTTAAGATTTTCTATACACAAATTAAATTCAAAGTAGAAGCAGCAGTGGCTCCCAGTGGCCAATTTATGACAGGTATACTTTTCCTATCACAGTTTTTGTACTTTCCCAAATGATTTCTATAGTTATAAAAACCTCACAGAAGCATTAGGAAAAAAGTTAATAAAAAGATATTTAACTTTAATCCTGTGTTCTTCTACTTGACAACAATAAGAAAATTTATTTTCCAGTAAACAGAGCCTTTAAACATAAAATGTATAACATTGGACCAAAATTGTGAGCCAAAATAAACTTCTTTCTTTTATAACTTATTTACTTTGCAGTATTGTTATTGGCAATAAAAAAAATGAACTGATACAATGCTTTTCCATTCCCAATGGCCCTAGGATTACTTATGAATCCATTAAACAACTGAATAGTCTCTATCTGTGTATATAATAACACACTGTTACCTACCTACTCGTTACAGGAGTTTTATCAAGTTAAGGTTTTTAACTTAAGTTTTATCTGTTAAGGTTGTTAAGACTGGAACTAATTCCACCTCAATTATGTAGTTGAAAAGGCTGAGATGACATTCTAGAATTCTGATCACAATACATACTAATCCTTCAGTATCAGAGGAGAATTAGTCCCATGACACTCCCAAGGATACCAAAATGCCAAAACCCTCATATAAAATGGTGTAGTATTTACAAAAAGACTACACACAATCTCCCATTACACTCTAAATCATCTCTAGATTTCTTATAACAAATACAATATAAATGTTACATAAATTGTTATTACAGTGTATTGAATAGGGAATAATAACCAAAAAAAATCCATACATGTTCAGTACAGATACAATTTTTTGCCCCAAGTATTTTCAATCCTTGGTTAGCTGAACATACAAATATAGAGGGCCACCTGTACACAGTAGACAGATTTATTAAGATGCTCCAAAATTGTATCCCTGGATCTGGCTGACAAGAAATTCAACTAAACACTAGTATGGGACTTTACAGATGGAATTTTATTAATATCAGTGGATCTTAAACTAAAAAATTATCCTAGATTATTCCATTGGTCCAGTGTTATCAAATGAGCCCTTAACAGTGACAGAAGGCAGAAAAATCAAGTCAGAGAAATACGAAGCATAAAAAAGGACACGATCTGCAACTACTGCCTTTGAAGATGAAGAAGAGAACAAGTTAAGGAATGAGGTGACAGTCACCATATGGAACTGATTTCTGCCAATACCCTCAATGAGTTTTTTTTTAAGAAGATTCATCCCCAGAACTTCTAAACTAAATAACCACCATCCTGACACCTGAGCTCCAAGCCAAAACCCAAGCAGTACCTGGACATCTGACCTATAGAAATTGTGAAATAATAAAGTTGTGTTGGTTTAAGCCACTAGGTTCTTGGTAATTTGTTATGGCAGAAATAGAAAATGACTACAGATCTTAGCACAAGCCAAGTGCTGCTGTTAAAAGGGACCTAAAAATGTAAATGTGGCTTTAGTATCAGGAACTGGATAGAGGAATGTTTAAAATAAAAAAAGACACTAGCAAGCTTTCAGTACACTGTTAGAAGAAATCTAGTCTTTAAAGACATTTCCAGTGAGGGCTCTCAGACTATT